AACCTCTAAACCCTAAACCCGAAGCCCGAAGCCCTAAAAGACCCTAAACCCCAAGGGGGGGGGCCCTTGGAGTGGAGATCCTGGGGCCAAAAAAGGGGGTGTTGGGAAGGTCCAGGGTTCTTGCGGCTTTGAGGCTTGAGCTCTTCTTTTCAGAAATTTCGGATTTGAAGTTCGTTCACTTCCTAGCTTGCCTGTGTTGGAGAACTATTAGATGACAGGGTAGCATTAAGGGGCTTGGGACCAATGGTTTTCGGGCTTTCAGGCTGTCGGCTTTGGCTTGGTTCGGGGTTTAGCGCTTGGGGTCTTGATCTGCCAGCTCATCCTTTGGGATGTCTTGAGAGAAGTGGGTTTAGGGTTTAGGGTTCGTCATTTCACCCGAAAAAGCCGAAAACCTAAAGCCCGTAATCGGACTTCATCCTCCTGCGTCGCACTCCTCTTTGGCCCGGCCTTGGTTTTGCTACGGCAAGCCTTGGAGAGCTCCCCGGGCTCCCCTCAAAGCCCAAAGCCCGTGCCTGGGCCGGCTGTAGTGCAACGTACATGAATCAGGACATCCTACAGAACCCAGGCAAGCCCTAAGCCCTGAACCCCGAACCCTCTAGAAGCGCCTCCAGCCCAGAGACGGTTGCCAAGGTAGACGTGTGGGCGATGGGCGTCATCATGTACGGCCTTGTGAGTGGTGGCTTGGGCGGCATTGGGCGGCTTTCGCGAAGGGTATCTACCAAGACTTTCCTTAGGCAGGCGTCCTTTCCGGATTGGGCTTGTAAGGTTTCGGATTTTTTGTAAATCAAGATTCTTGACCCGGGGCATCCTCGTCATGTTCAGTGTTTGCCTGGGGCCTAGGGTTCCAACAGGTCATGTTGTTTAGGCTTTGCAGCTTCTGGTGATGCTGCCTCTGCTGTCTAAGGCCGTTTCCCTTTCAGAGATGAGAACGACGTCAGGCTCGGGATGCAATTGCTGCATCGTGGGTCAGTGCGGTTGCTCGAGTGATACTCTTGACGATGGGGATTCGGAGCATCATGAGAATCAATAAACGCAGTCTAGCTAGTCAGAGTCAGAGCAACAACGTGGTAGCGAGGACGACGACGACCACCACATCCGCCGCATCAACAAGCAGCACCAACCATGTCGCAAAGCAGCTCCAGCACAAGCAGCCACAACAGCAACAGCCGCAGTGGGCGGTGGCGATGCCAGCAACCGTACTAGCAAGAGCAGCAGCAACATCATCAGTGTCAGTGTAGGGCACCAGGACCAGCTGCAGCCAACAGCGAGCAGAGGAGGCAATGGCAAGAACAACATCAAGAGCAAGAGCGACAGACAAAATCAACAAGAGCACCAGAAAGAAGAGGCAGCCAGACTGCATGACAGTCAGAGGTTGCAAGCAGTCACACGTACGTACGTACGTACGTACGTACGTACACACACACACAAAAAAACGCACGCAAATGCACACACACACACACACTATAACGCTACTGAAGAGCTTTGTTTTTCTGTTGCACACAGAAAAGCACAAAGAACTAGTCACTAGTAGGTCCGGGGTGGGCATGTTTCTCCCGATTGGGAGTTTGAGGGGTGCGCAGGTCCAAATCCTACAGTAAACCTGCAGCTCTAGTAGGTAGTTTTTGTTTTCTTTCCCGGAACGCCGGCACGTGCTCGCCGTTTCAACCTTGACTAAGGGGGAGTAGGACCGACTTTTCGCCAGAGGGCGAAATGTGTTGGAGTCCCAGGCCCTAGACCTTACACCCTACATCAACCTTCAACCCCACAGCCGAATATCGAAATCCTCTGTTGTTCATCCTTAAACCTGAAGAGCGGCTTTGCTTGAGAGGGATAACTCCAGACTGCAGACCTAGAGGCCCCAAACACATCATCCCTCGCCTTGCCGTTTCTGCGAGAGAGTTCAGGTTTCGGGTTTTTGGGTTTCGGGCTTTGGTGTTTGAGGGGGCAGGGCTTAGGAATTTGAGGTTTCCGGTCTGGAGCTTCGAAGACTCGCTTTCAGCTGTAGCCGTTAAGGGCCGGCGTTCCGGACTCAGCCCGACCCGCAGAAATTTGAGACAGATCCCGCGTGACAGCGAAGCCCACGCTTGCTAGGAACAAAGAGGTTCGAATCCCGAAGCGCGTCCACCCAGTCTGCGAGGTGGGCAGGGCGGCAGGGAAACTGCGTGAATCTGCTGAATCGGCATGAAAGTGGGGTCAGACTTCGCTCTGAAGTCGAAGCTATGGGAGGTTTGAGATTTGAGGGTCTTTCGGGGGCTGCGTTGTACTTGCAGTGGGGTTTCCGTCAATTTTTGTGTCATCGGCTATGTGGCTTCTAGGCTCATCTGCAGCAACAGCCCAAGCAGGAATACATCAGAAAGATGCTGGACAAGAGCGAGAAGACTCGCATGAGCTCGTCTGAGGCAAGGGCATAGCTTCTGCAACCTAACAACCTCCGCACTAATCTTGAGGGCTGAGAGTTCTAGGGCTCAAGTTTCTGCGCCCCAAGACGCCTACTGGAAGTTCATGGGTTGAAGACCAACTTTTGACTGTCGGTATCATGCTTAGACTCCTTATGTTAGAGCCTGCTTCATGAGTCCGGTCAGAGCAACTACTACCATGCGCCCCCACCGATCTTTAAGTTCTGTGCTTGAAAGTCTCTGCTCTGGTCGTACAGGAACGCAGTAATTCGTGTGGTCACCCTCATTCTCATAATCCTCATGACCGTTCATCATCACACAACGATCAACATCGCCTCCGACTTAATGATGGTGAGGATGATCGTGATTCCTGCTTCTCCGTGCACCTTCTGGGCTCTTTTCATGGTGAGTCTCGACATGTCACAACAGCCAAAGCCCAAGTCACAGACCGTTGACATGCAATCCACTGAGGTTCAGAACCAGCCACACAATTGACAATCACTGCGAACCCTGTGGCTGGTTCTGAGCTGCTCACCTATGGCCACTAGCAGCTAGATACGATCCCAAAGCAGTCGTGTCGGGGCAGTCGAAACAATTTTTTGTTTGAAGGCGGCGCTTGTCTGCAAGACGCCTTTCATGGCAGAGCCTCCCCCAGACAACGATGTGCGCATTCTTAACACGGCGGGTGAGGTGAAGTACCGAGTGGCGGCGAATGCAGCTGCGGACATCCGAGGCTTGAAACAACATCTGGCACCCCTTTGTGGGCTCCCGCGGTTTCGGCTGCGGCTACTCCAAGTGGGGAGCGAGCGGGTGTTGCAGGATGGAGACAAGCTTGATTCGGCTGAGTTTCAGCTGGTGGTGTTGCCGTTTGCAAGGCCCGAGGAGCCACAGGAGGTGAAGCTTGCTGATGCTATTCAATCCGGTGACAGTGACACAGTTGAGCAGCTCCTGCAACTGCCCCGAAACCCCGATGACGTCCTCAGCAGCCTCCAAGCCACGCCGGTGGTTTTGGCATGTTGTTTTGGCCATGCGGAGATCGTGAGCTTGTTGCTGGAGGCTGGGGCGTGTTGTCAGCTGCCGTGCCATGGCTATGACTGCTATGATGCAATGCAGCTAGACGTCGTCGCAACCACACCTCTAGGTGCCGCGTGTGCAGCGGGCCATCTAAGAACTGTTGAGGTGCTGTTGAAAGCAGGTGCCCCGCTGACCTCAGCCTGCCGTGACGGTTGCTTTTTCCCTTACTGGAAACGTGTTGAGCTGTGGCCCTTCGACATGGCGCTGAATTGCAAGCAGCTGGAAGTGGCACGGTCCCTGCTGGAAGAGCACCGCCGGCGAGGAGCTCCGGGCCCGCTAAGATGTCAAAACGACGCAATGACTCCTGAATATGTGGCAGTTGCGGATGAGGATTGGCTTCGCCTTCATTTGGATGCTGGCACCAGGTTTGAGTCGGGTGCTCTTGTTGGAGCAGTTGAACGTGGCGATCCAAAGATCGTGCGTTGGCTGCTGGAAGCTGGTGCTGACAAGGATCGTCCGAGGACTTCGGGCGCCGGGATGCATGAAGCGCCTCTCCCAGCAGCAGTCAGGAAAGGCAATGTTGAGATGGCACGCCTGCTGCTTGACATCCGCGCCAACATGAATGCGTTCCCCTTTCACAAGGACAGACTCAGAGGAGGATCGCTTCTTATACGGGCCATCTCCAATGAGGATGTTGAGATGGTGAGCCTTCTTGTGGAGTTCCGTGCCGATGCTGGGCAGGAGTGCCAGGAGCACGCCCTGTCCAGAGGGTACCCGGAGATTGTGCAGATCCTCAGGACTAGCAGACGTCCGGCCTCAGACTGAGCTTCGGTGTATCCGCCAGCATGAGCTGCGGGCGTCATACACCGAAATCCGGAAGCGCCAGCCGAAAGGGGTCGCGAACTCTTGCAGCTTCTCCTAGCAACGCGGGCTGACGCGGCAAGAAACTCCAATTCGCTCACAAGCCCAAAGCGCTGGAGCCTGAAATCCAAGCCTTCAGGTGAATAGCTTAGGCGCTTAGAGTTTGGAGTTCAGAGGCTGGGGTCCTTGCGCGCAAGCTCCCTCACCAGTTGCCCCAAGCTCTTGAACTCAGCAAAGAATCCCTGGACCCCAGGGCCCTGATCCCTTCAATCGTCCGTACCTCCTGCCAAAGACCCTAAAACCCTGCTCCCGACATGCCCCCAAAGGTGATGGCTCATCCGTGGATCGCCGGAAAGTTCGGCCAGCCCTAGCCCGAGCAACAGCCGCCAGTGCTGAAGCGAGCAATTCAGCTTGGCACACACACACACACACATCTATCTATCCATCTGTTTGACGGTTTGTCCGTCTGTCTTTATGTCTGTGTATATATATATATACATAGATACATACAAACATACATACATGTATGTACATGTTCAACTGTGTTTAAAATGTCCCGCACAGCCTGCATGCTTGCCTGCCTGCCCACATGCCTGCCTGTATGCACGTATACATGTATGCATGTATGCATGTATGCAAGGAGCAACGCCAGGCTTATTAGCCTATAGCTGTGTGTGTTCGCTGGGATGGCGGCTTGGACCTTTCGATCGCATGCTTTGATACGGCCTTCTCTGCATGACGGTAGCATATTTCGCTGGTTTAGGGATCAGGGGTTCTTTCTGGCATGTTGTGATGTTCAAAGTTTCGATGCGAAGAAGGGCTCCGACCCGACCCTGTGTAGTCTGGCGACGCCCTGAAGTTAAGGCTTTTAGAGTCCACCTAGTGCGCAGCATCTGAGTTTGGACCTGAAGCCTCGACCCTGAACCCCTAAGCCCAAAGCTCTCAACCCCGCGGCACGGCAGCTCTGGGCTAGGACTTCTGCTAACCCGCCGTTTCATGCGTGCTTACGTACCATGGCCGAGGCAAAGGGTGATTACAAAACGAGGTGCGTGCGTGTGTGTGTGTGTGTCTGTTCTTTTTCGTGTGTAGATGTGTATGTTTATGTTCATTTTTTTTTTTTTTTGTGTGTGTGTGTCTGCGTCCAAGAAAGAGATTTCCCCCCAATAGAAATCCGGTGTATATCAGCCTGAAAGATCTTACAACAGTGATGCAGCACTTGCTGCATTTCAGGACCACGGCAGGGGACAACAAGCCGACGGAAGAGTGGCATCCCCAGACATTCCACGGCTCACTTCACACTAGTGTTTCAGAGTTTCGAGGTCTTTCGGTTTTGGGGTTAAGGATTCTCAGGGGTGATTACAGCTGAATTTCAATCACTTGGTGAGGCTGTTCTTCCGTGTTTGGGACACTCTTGGCGTTAGCTAGCGGCTAGCTTCTCAGAGTGGGGGACTCTCAGCCCCCCCAAAACCTTGAGACAGGACATGGTGTTTCAGGGTTCAGTGTTTAGGATTTAGGGGTTCCTTGCAGCCTCCCGAAGGCCACGCGTTCCCACAAAAGGTAAACCTGTAGAGTTCATCCTCCAGCCTCAATTCCTGAACTCTGGGGACCTGATTAAGAAACCCTGATCCTAGGATCCACATATATATATATATATATAGAGATAGATGGATAGATAGATAGATAGATATATATATATATATATAGAGATATAGATATAGATATAGATATAGATATAGATATAGAGAGAGAGAGAGAGAGACATACAGGACCCTGACAGAGACCGAAGGTTTCTTCACCAGGCTCCAATAGCATGCGCGAGATCTCAATGCTTCAGGCTGTAAGCCTCCGAAGTTCGTAATGTTCACCATAGTGCCGCATGCCTGAAAACATTAAACCCTAAACTGCCCTAAACCCTAAACCTTGCCATCTAGGAAGCCAACGTCTTAGAATCGTGGGTGGCATCTCCGTTGAGGGTCTTAGTGTTATTGTGATTAAGATGATGGTTATTTTTTATTGCTATTACTATACTTGTGATTTTTAGTATAGGAATGATTGTTAAGCCCTAAATCCTAACAGGTAGGATTATTAAACCCTAAACTCCCTAAACTTTCAGCTCCTTTGAGCTCTGCCACAGACCTTCGGATCGCTTGGGCCCCCTTTGGCCTTCGGCTTAGGGTCCTTTAGCCTTCTCTCCTGGGCTTGGGATCCTCACTCTTAGGTTGAGGGTTTGGGGGTTTTAGGGTTTTAGGGTTGAGGGTCAGGGCCCTAACCCCAAACCCTAAACCCTAAACCCTAAACCCTAAGCCCTAAGGGTGTATGGCCCTAACCCTAAACTCTAAACCCTAAACCCTAAACCTTAAGGGTGTATCTCGAAATTTTGGAGTAGGGGTCTGGGTCTGCTGTAGCAAAAGGTGCGTTGTGAGGTATCAGGAATGGTCTTAGACGGGTAACGACGGGCTATCTGCCTGAACACCCTAAGCGTGCTAAGCCCCAAGTGTCGCAAGGCACCAACCTCCCTGAGCCCAAGCAGATGTAAACGTCTCGAGTGAGCCACGGATCCTTGCGAAGTTTCAAGCCCAAAAACAGGCCTTTCTGGAGCATTTCAGGGTTTTCGGCTGTCAGACTTCAAGGGCCCTAAACCCTAAACCCTAAACCCTAAAGGCTCAGGCATTTCTTGTTTATTGAGGCCAAGCCTCCAAGGCCCAAGCCCAACCTGCTTCAGCCTTCACAGCCCCAGGGAGGGAGACAAGGAGGCGGATGGTATGGTGGAGGCGGTGTGGGGTCGGGGGGACCACGATGCTGCTAAACCAAGAAGATGCGTTCTCTCATGGATCCCTGATTTCGGACCACTCGTATGAACTTGAATTGGTGTCTTGGGACTTTCAGGTTTTGGATGAAGAGTTGGACGCTCCTCTCCCTGTGCGCTTTGACAGGGTTTAGGGCTGTAAGACGCGAAGCACTGCTGTTGCATGTATCATGGCACCTATGCCTAAGCTTCAGCTGTAACCCCAATCTCTGCGCTTGAGGCTTTAATCTGACTCCAGTGCGCGAGCCAAGCATTTAGCACCAAGTCCGATGTCTCCTTCCTTCTGCGGCGGTTTTCTCAAAGCAGAAGCCGCCATGGGGCGCCAGCAAGTCCTCAACTTCATGATGCTTGGTGCTGCGGGTGGACCGAAAACCTCAAGACCCCCTCTTACCCTGAGGCTGTAGTTAAATCCTAAACAAGAGGTGCCAGCGATTGCAATTCCTTAGCTTCGGAGCTTCGAGCGACCGGGAACCCTCATAGGGTCCTTCAGCTCTAAGCTCTTCAGCCCTGGACTGCGCTTCAATATATATATATATATCTATATATATATATATCTATATATATATATCTATATATATATATATACCTATATATATATACATACACATACGCATATAATATGTAATAATATATAATATATAGTATGTAATATATATATATATAATATTGTTAGATCCCAGAGCCCTAGACTTTGAGGGTCAAGCGCCGGAATGTACAGGCCGGCGTGAACGACGGCATCAAGGAACGACGTCAGGACACCAGGGTGGCTCCAGTTCGGCTCGGGGATTCAGGCTTCAGGGAGGGTTTGTTATGAGAGCCCCAGATTGAGGGATTAGGGTTTGGGGTTTAGGGTTTAAGGTTTAGGGTTTAAGGGTCTACGGAGATGTTCAAGCAGGGGCTGGCGAAACTAGGGATGCTTTCAAGGATTTTCGTTTTCCATAGCATCAACTACCGACCGGGGCATGCTCTGAAAGACTGGGTGGGGTTGTCGAAGTGCTGTGCCATTTTCCCAGAGCCTTGTGGGGTTTGATTTCTTGTTCAGGGCCACTTCGCTCTAGACCCGTTGCCCTCAGCCGGTTGTACAGCATGTTGGGATGATTTTGTAGGTCTCTAGCACATGAGGGTTTTTTTCTACCGAGAGGATTCGACTAGCGCAGCTTACCAGGATCGGCCTCAAACCTTAGAGACGACACAAGCCTAAGTCAACCCAGAAAGCCCGACCTGAACCTGGGATTCGGATGCTTCGGCGGAGGAGAACGGCCTGTGAAACAAAGTGTGCACAGCAACCAGAGTCCTAAACCTTCCGGAAGCCCTGAAAACCCCTCAACTCTCAACCCCATAAAGTCTAAAGCCCTGAACCCAAACCTGAATCCCAAATCCTGCCTGCACTTTAAGGAGCCCTTATGCAGTCACCCGCAGCCACCTACTTGATTACTGAGGTAATGCTCTTCCGGTCATGGCCTTATCTACAAGTTTAGGGTTTAGGGTTGCGGGTTTAGGGTTGCTCAAGAGCCGGTACGACGCGACCTTGAAGGTCGTGGCAACGCGCCCCGCGTTCAGCGATCCCCCGCACCCCTGACCATCCACATCTCAACCTTATCGGGTTTAGGGTTTCTTTTCAAGTTGTGTATTTTCTGTGTTCTGCCTGTTGAAGGTTTGTTTGCGGGTTCTGGCTGGATCTGGTTTGTCCTGTGGGTTCTGGCTGGACTTGGCTGAGTCGGACGACTTGGGACGACTTGTCCTGGCATTTCACACTGGAGAGGGCAGGGCAGGGCAGAGCAGGGCAGGGCAGGTCGTCGAAGCCGGCACAGATTCTCCTCTTCGAGAAGCTTTCCGGAGAGCATTCTGGAATTTTCCGGGTTTCTTGGCGTCAGAAACGCCAAAAATGGGGGAGGCCCGCAAAACACCAAAACCGTCGAACACCCTTGTCGGTTTGATCGCTTATTCCGGGGGCCCCAATCCTTGTCCATGCGGAAGGGCTTCCCAGACTCGCTTCTCGTCGTCGTGAAAGGCTGAGAGGCCCCAATCCTTGTGTATTTTGAAGACCGAAAAATCCAGGACGCGGGGTCAAGTCGTGTAGGATTGGGGACGTCCTCCGCCTGAATGGAGATCGCGGTGCGGCGGGGCGACTGGTGGCGCAGGAGCACTGTTGCCCAGC